TAATAATAATAATAATAATTTTACACAGTTTTCCCAATATTTTTTCTTTTTTTCCCTAGTTTTTTTTATCTTAAATAATTTTCTAAATTTATTTTTTTATTTTTTTGCAATTTGTGGGACATTTCTTACCACATTGCTCAGTGCCTTTTATCCCATATTTTTTGAAAGACATCACACCAATTTGCTCAGGGTTCAAAGGTTTAATTTTATTTATTTACTTATTTATTTATTTTAACCTTTACTTAACCAGGAAGTCCCATTGAGACTGACCATCTCTTTTAAAAGAGAGATCTGGCCGAGGTAGCAGCCAATCAGAACACATTTAAAAAGCAACAAATACAACATATAACACAAAAATCCAAAATAAAACAACTATTGACACATAGTGGCCTCTTAAGAAAAACAAGCACATGTCTCTATCACCACATTCTTTATGATGCCCTTAAAGTCATCGATGGATAAAGTGTTTCTAATTTTAGATCTTTTGAGCAGGACAGTAAGAGAATACAGGTCTCTGTTAAAACCCGGGGTTCGTTAAAAATCAAATGCTTGTGAAAGGCGTCTGAAAGCAGCACAAGAAAAGGGATGTCCCTCCAGGTTTCAAAGGGTTAAAGGGATAGTTTGGATTTTTTAAATGGTGTATGAAGTACGTATCCATAGTCAGTGTATTACATATGGCAGCTGGGATGCCTCCAGTTTGAAGAAGCAGGCAGGAATACTGCCAAGACATATTTTAGCCACCGCAGTGAATCCAAACTAACCCTTTCAAACACCAAAGTCGCATAATAACACGAACAAACCAACTCACTGAGGCAGCACAGACCAGCAACTTCTGTGTTTTGTGAAGTAAAATTACTGGGTTTTTTTATCAAAGGAGTCTGTTGGCTTTGAAGATAGTACAGATGATGGCCTCAGTTCCCTGTCAGAAATGGCTGACAGCAAGGTAAAGTGATGAAAATATTCTAAATAAAGCGTATACTTAACTGATACTGATGTTTTTTAGGTGGCTAAGATGCATTTTGCTGCTGCCCCGTCGACAACAGTACATGCTTAGCTTCCTTAGCAGTACTCTTGCCTGCTTCTCCAAACTGGGAGTGTGCCGACCAACATCCACTGTATGTAACACACTGACTATGGATAAGTACTTCATAAAATCCCACTGCAAAGAATCCAAACCATCCCTTTAAGCTTTTGAACCAAGAAATCATCAAACATGACATCTATGAACTGTTTAACAGCTAATGCATTGAAAACGGTTTCCACCAAAGCTGATGCAAAATATTTTATTTGTGCATTTAGAGCATATTAGTCTTGAGTTTTAAATAGGTTGTCTTGATTGGGTGCATTTCTAGATAGCAATCTTGCTCTAGGCAGCTTTAACAGGCAACTTCTTATTCATGTACTTGCTTTAACTGACCACTGGTAAGTTGTGTGTGGGTGGGAAAAACCTTTGACACCAGAATAACTTACTTGGGGTCCCAGCAGGCGGAGAGCGGGCCGACTCTGCTAGAGCGATCCAGAGTCAAGGCCTCCAGCAGCCAACTCAGACAGCATAGCTGGCGGTAGATGACCTCCCTGCAACAGCACACACAGACGTGAACTTCAACATCTGAGGCTTGTTTTTGTTTGTCCAGAAGAGTTTTATTAGAATAATTCCATACACAGCAAACAAAAAAACTTATGAGAAATTATCCAACTCACATTTCCATGATAAAAACGACACATTTTTATTATCCCATTTATATCCAGGCTAATCTTTGCATTTTTGTATTACTTCCATTTATCTGCCTCTCAGTAACAAACATTTCTTGGCTTCAAATATGTATCTATTAAACTCGCTTTAGATTAACTCGTAATGGATAACAAACATGTAGAGTTTAGGTTCAGATGAAAAAATTCGAATGATTTTATTGGCATTCAGTCGTTAGTCTACAGAAACAGGAAACATGGGCAGAGAGAGGAATATAATATGCAACAGGCGTCAGCCAATAGACAGAGCGCCCTCAGAATAACTTTCACTAAACATTAACAACACCCACTGAACTGTCTGACTTCAAAGGGTCAAAGGTCAACATGCAGAATGTAAATTATTAAGCATCATAGCCAGCCAGACAGTGCAGGGGAGAGCGTACATCTGTACATCCCTCATCTAACCACCAATGCTTCATGAATGGAAAGATCAACACATAGATGGATACGTAGTATGTGGGGATGTTATTTTCATCCACCACATCTCGCTGAAGATTCTCAGTCATCCAGGTCATGGTAATCTTAAGTGCTATATCGAAGGCAACTGGACTTGCTTGTGTTTCTTAAAGACGTTTCGCCTCTCATTCAAGAAGCTTCTTCAGTTCTGGATCATCTACTATGTCATAATTTATGTGGTGACCACGAGTTTTAATTATGTGTACTTTGTTCCCAAGAAATCATGTTTTGTCCATCCTTCAGGTATAGCAGACAGCTCTGAATACTACAATACCCATGAGCCTTGGCAACTTTCCAGGTGGAAGCACAAACCATGGTGGTCGTGAATTCAAAGCGCTTTGTTGAATTTATCCAAAAGTGACCCGCAAATTAAAAGTGAACTTGCAAATTGTAAAATCTGAATCAAAGCTCGATGTTTCCTGCTCAAATGCACCCTGGGAGTTGTAGTTAACTTCAACTCAAAAAGTCTTAACACACAGGATTGTATTTTTGACTTTTTATCAAATACAATCCTGTGTATTTCTCTTTACTTTTTCTCTTTTTATCTGTGATAGACTGATGAAGATACCTATCCCTCTATCTTCATCAGGGTAGGAAATGTATCCATACAGGTATCCATCCATCGGTCAAAACACCTTGGGCAGGTCACCAGACTATCACAGGGCTGACACATAGAGACAGACAACCATTCACACTCACATTCACACCTACGGACAATTTAGAGTCAACAATTAACCTGCATGTCTTTGGACTGTGGGAGGAAGCTGGAGTACCTGGAGGAAACCCACACTGACACGGGGAGAACATGCAAACTCCGCACAGAGGGGCTCCCCCACTCTGGGATTCAAACCCTCCACACTGTGTTGGAACCAAGAACTCTTGCTATGTCAATGCTAACTTCTGCACCACTGTGCTGCATGTGTGTTATGTCTGACTGTAAGACCTTTTTCTTATTTTCTCTTTGGCTCTTGAGAAACAGACTGAATAAAACTACCTGATTTAATAAAGTCACACGGAGCTTTTACATCGTATGAGAAGCCTTCTGAAGTGCTCTGCATCAATGCCACCAAGACAAAGTTAATGTGTTGTGATTCGGGTGAAGTTTCTCCACATCAAAAGGTAAATGGCACTACATTAGGCAATGGTGTAGTGCCCCCTCCAATGGCAAAAAATAGCCACTACAAAACCAATCATACTCTACACCCTTCATTTCCAGTCAAGTCTCCGACTGTGGGTAAAATAAGTGGATGAAAACATTGACACAAGAGGCCCAACTCTTCAACACAAGAGCTGCTGTAGTGGGAACAAATGCAAAACATGCCATCCCTCTAAAAGCGTGGTTACAGTGTCACCTGCAGTCAAGCGGTGCCGTCCGTCACCCCGACACTTTCACGCTTCAAGGCTTTATGACCACATCCATTCCCATGATCTCTCCAAACACATCAAACACAATATGAATTCTGCCTCCTGTTCTGCCTCGCTCCCTCTTCCCCGCGCACAAATGCTGCCGTCCCGGGTCGCTCCGAGCTCTTTTCATTATCGACCAGGCCATTCGTCTGCCAGGCAGATAGTCTGCTAGATTAGGATCTGTCAGATGTCAGGTAACAGCCTTCAAACAGGGTTGTTATTTTCCAGAGGTCTCGCCAGAAAACAAGGCTGTATTCTGGCAGTGGCAACAATGCAGTGTCAGAGGAAATGCATGTGGAGTTGGAGGTGAAGTATCATAAACACAGGCTGTAGATTTGTCCCCGTGGAGCAACATGTAAAACACAGAGGATTCCTGTGTACGTGAAGATGGGTAATGTCATTGTTTGAGTAGCAGAGGTGCAAAACATATCTTGGCCCTTTAAGAAACTACTAATACAACAAGTATTTGCTAGTTTTAAAGCTTAAATGTTCCTGCTTTGCCATTTAATCCTTTTCAAACACATTACACTTGTCACAACATAATGTGTGATAAATTCCGTATTTCACTTGTGTTCAAAAGCCAGTACTGGCGGATTGCAGGCAGCATTGCCATCAATACGAGATCAAAGCCGTGCATAACACTCTCAGAGCAGAAACCACTAAATGTTGCTGTTGTGAACCAGAGCTCTGTATGTGTTTATTGTCAGCCAACACCCGAGTTTCTAACAAGGCAGATTTGTCAGAGAAAACTTTTTCTGACGCATTTTTCAGAAAAGGTTAGCTCCGGTTCACGCGGCATCAAAGGAGTCTGCCGTATGAAAGAAATACAAAATGAAAGCTTCGCGAATATCTGTCAATGTCAGATGTTTTGCATTAAATATTCAGCAATCTGCCTGTTTGTTTTTCTTTGTTTGATGTTTGCTGAGGTGTAGTAACACATCTGCTTGACACGAATCAAACGGATGAACACTGACAGACCGAAAAAGGGTGGAAGAAGCGCAGTTATTCCTTATAATCAAATTCTTTTTCAAACATCTCACCCTCTTTCTTTACTTCTGTGCAGGGTGTGGTGATTCTTGAAAAATACATCAAAACCTATGCCCTTATTAAAACAAGGAGCGACTGCTTTGATCATGATGATTGGAGCAAATATTCACAAGTTATACCTAACGACTACAAATGCCTGAAATAAAAGGTACTAACTGATCTTCTTGAATGTTTACATTTGTCTTTATTTTAATGTTCTGATTGCACAAACAATTCATTTTGAAGGTCAAAACTTTGACATTTCTTATCTAGCTACCTTGAAAACCTCCCTGCGTGAAGTTATATGCAGAGGAAACACAGCAATCTCCAGCTACGTCTACACTACAGCAGTCCTACCTACAAACTGCATGTGGTGAAGTATAGCATATTATTGTATGAGCTCTGTATATCTGAAGGTTATTTACTGAAAGTGACAGGCTGAAGGACAAAGCAAAGAAGCTGCATTTCTCATGTTTTTTCCACTGGAAGTAAAGAATGTGCTGCTGCTGTCAAGCTGCGCGAGTAGAGGCTGCCGAGTGGGTTTTGCAAAACACAGAACCCAGTTCTTAGACAGCTTCTAACCTTGAGTACCATAAAACACCTGAACATATTTACGGCTCGTTTAAAGGCCACCGTCTTGAATATTATGGAAGGGAACAGGCTGCACGGTATATGACATCTTTACCTTGGTGCTTCACTCAGCAGAGGGGAGGTCAGAGAGTGATGGACGGGGGTGAAAGGTCGTGCTGACTTGTTCTTCTTCCTGCGCGGCCACACTTCATTCGCACCTAACCAGCTGGGTCCTGCAGGCAGACGCCACCTGAACTCAGCAGAGATACAGTGGTGTTAGCTTTAAATAACATGGGAGCATATGGATGATGTGATCATATGATTAGCGATTATTCAAGTTCAATATTAGACTAGAGTTAAATATATGGATGTTTTGAAAGCTGATGTAAATACTGATGGCTTAAATGTGAACTAAGCTGCAAATATTTTTGATATATTTCAACCTGGAGCGTATTTTTACCATGTTTTATGTCTAAGTAAAAAACAGCAACTACAGTTCAGTCGGGACCACTTTAGTCAAAGTAAACTTTATTTCCATTTGCAGTATTACATTTGGCAGTATGGCTCTGTTCTGGGGCCTCTCTGCCTTTCCTAGGCCTACGCAGACAGCCTAAGGCAGAGAGAGCAAACCTCCCTGCCCTTCCATGCGCCTTCATGAAAAGCCTAAGGCAGGGAGAGCAGGAGCAAAGGTAAGGTAACAGAACAGAGCAGCATCAATGACAAACAGAAATGACACTGATAAGTCAGACAGCATGAAAAGGAGGAGCTGGGGTGGAGGCGAGTTAGTATTAATTAGTATTAATTTAGAGTTAGAGTTGTGTCTCTGGCCACCTGATGAACATGATTCACCCTCTTTTAGCTTTGTTTTGGTCTCCAAGTGATCTCCCCTGGTATCAATTTCCCACCCATACACCCACCAAACAAATCCTGAGCAGCAATACTGATCGTGAGCACACCAACTGGCACACACAGCTATCAATCATGACATCAAATCCCCGTTTTATGGCATGAAATGAATTGAACGTAGTGTTAGTTCAGGCCGGACACAATGTCAAGCTCAGCTCACATCCCAGCTACATCAGCCGATCTCAAACAGCCCAATCAACTGATGGAGCAGCTGATTGATGGAAGGGAGTCAGCTGATAGATCAGATGATTCCTTTCTATGCAACTAATTGACAAATCTCATTCAGGGTGCCCTATTTAAACTGCTCTGGTCTGCCTACTGTTGCTGCTTCCTCTGCAAGCCACTTTGCAACCTGCCTCCACCCCAGCTCCTCCTTTTCATGCTGTGTCTGACTTATCA